GTACCGGTCGATGGGAGGTAATCTGCGGCAGAAGGCGGTCTCGGAGATACCCAGGTCCGATGCCATGGAGCGCTTTAAATGTGGTAACCAACACCTTGAAGCGCACCCGGAAGGCTACCGGCAGCCAGTGCAGCTCACGCAAAAGCGGTGTTATATGGGAGCGACGAGTCCCTCCCAACACCGCCCGCGCGGCCGCATTGAGTTCTCTTAATGACTGCATCATTCGATAATGACTGCCACAGTAAAATAGGTTCGGTCACATGATGGCCCTCTTTATGACTGTCACGATTTACGACGGTAGCAGGTACATTCCATTAATGTTGAAAATTGAGAACTAATTGTAACGGGAGGAATCTCATCCTGTTCCAGTCTGGCTGTTTTTTAATACGTAAGAGAATAGTAAGGGCATCAATTGTGGCTTATTTCTTTTTTTTCATTTGCACAGGTAAAGCAAATAGCTGTACAATCCATCGGTGCACTTGAATGAATGAGTAACGGTTTCCTTTTGGTATTCTTCTTTTCTAGAACAAAGCTCAAACAAAACAAGCTATGTTAGCTGAGAAGAACATGTGTTCTCCTTTGCCCACGGGTGTTCTCACCCCACCTCAGAGTAGTAAAAAACTCCCACGGACCTCGAAATAGCTAAAGCTACGGAAGCTGCTCGTTCTCCTGATCACCGGCTTTTTTAAAAAAAAACACAACTCCCTCGCCCTATATTTTTATTTTCAGGATTCTGCATTTTTGCGTGAGGCTGCCAGTGAGTCCCGATGAATGCTAGAATGGAGGGGGAAATTCCTTTATGTGTTTTTATGGAAGAAACCGACTGGTTCTGAAAACTGGTTTTTCTTTTCCTTTTTAATGGAATGTCTGTTTTTAAAGGAACTCTTTGAATATACCAGCCACCTCAAACAGGGATGTGCTTGGATTGCTGCTAAGGAAAGAGTTATTTGATGTGCTGATCGGGGGGGGGGGGGGGAAAAAGAGATTTTTTTTTTCCCCTCTGGATGCTGGGAAGTCCCACCAATGCGCTGGTTGGAGTTAGCCATGGAAGGCAAACCTCTTCGCAGATTTGAGTTTACAGCCTGATATTTTTTTTTAAACAAAATCCTTTGTAAATGCTCTTATGTATCTCTAATTTTTTAAAATAAAGTGCGGCCTTTGCTAATAATGGCACTTTGTATTCCTGTCAGAACGGCTGAAGGTTGAGAATGGAGAGGATCTATTTAATTACCAGGAAGAAACATTTTATTATAGTGTTAGCAGCATGCATCTACATTTCAAAGACAAATTGACTGGATGTGCTTGTACGCTATGATACATCAAAATATGGTTGGGTGTCTGAACCAGCCACTGTAGTTAAGCCACTGCTTACGGCTTAGCAGTATCCCAACTCTTTGAAAACCAATGTATGTAGTTATACAAGTAGTCCATGGCTTAGGATCACAGTGGAGTCCAAAATTTCTATTGCTTAAGCGAGAGGTTTGTTGATTTGAGTTTTGCCCCTTTTTACAACTTTTTTTTTTTTTTGCCACGGTTATAAAGTGAATCACTGCAGTTGTTAAATTAGTAACATAGGTTTTAAGTGAATTTGGCTTCCCCATTGACTTTGCTTGTCAGGAGGTCGCAAAAGGTGATCCCAGGACCCCGGGACACTGCCACCGTCATAAATATGAACCCATTGCTGAGTGTCTGGATTTTGATCACGTGATCATGGGGATGCTGCCAAAGTTGTGTGAAAAATGGTCAAAAGCCGCTGGCGTACACAGGTAGTTCTTGACTTACAACGGTCCATTTAATGAGCATTCAAAGTTACGACGGCACTGAAATTCAGATGCTTGGCCACTGACCCCCCTTTATGACGGTTGCAGCATTGATCGCCTTTTGTGACCTTCTGAGAAGCAAAATTCAAAGGGGAAGCCAGATTCACTTAACAACCGTGTGTGTCAAAGTTTCATTAGTCGGAACCATGACAGTGTGACTAATTTAACAGCTGCATCGATGTACTTAACAACGATGGCATAAAAGGTCGTAAAATGGGGCAAAATTCACTTAACAACAGAAATTTGGGGCTTAACAATTGTGTACCTGTAATTCCTCTGGCTTTTGTTTTTCTTTTTTCTTTTTTGGTAGCTGTGCAACTTCCAACTTTCTAGGGTATGTCAAGTTAGGAGAACGGTAGGTTTAGGTTTTCTTCGTGTTTTCTGCAGAGAAGCAGCTGGAATCTCTGATCTGCGAAAAAGGAGACGGTGGCAGAACTAAGAATAGCCTTGGCTGAGAAGGAACGAGTCACTCGCCGCTGTGAATATAAGAGCTGTAGAAGCCAAAGCACTTCCATGCCTTGAAAACGTGAGAAGCAGCTCCAGCTGCTTTCTACAAGGTCTGCAGGGTGGCTGGTGGTCTCCCGGTTGAGCAACTTTGGCTGGTGTCAACAGTTCCACATATTTCAAGTCGACGTGTGTTTGGGGTTTAAAGTTTGTACTCTTGTGTTGTTCGATCTGCTATATCTTCCAGCAGCTGTTAAGGGAGGGGAGAGTGAAGGTTATTTTTTTTTATAGATCCCATGCAAAACTCAAAAGAGAAGGCTGTTGTCTTGCCTTGTATAGATCCACTTAGGGGGATCGGTGGCCATCAGCCAACATTTGTGAATATTCTTCAGAAGATTAGTTCATGCCCAAACAATCCAGAAACCTGACTTCAGGCCCTCCGGTCCGCGGAAAAACCTCTCTCCATGGAACCGGTCCCTGGTGCCCAAAAGGTTGAGGACCTCTGTCTTAATCATGTATTTTTTGCTCATCTGTGGACAAAGGTAGCATTTGAAAATGAGACACTACTGGTAGACTGGAAGGAACTCTTGACTTTAGTGTACAGGTAGTCCTCGACTTATGAACACAATTGAGCTGAAAATTTCTATTAAGTGAGACATTTGTTAAGTGAGTTTTGCCCCATTTTACGACTTCCCTTGCCTCAGTTGTTAAGTGAATCACCGCAATTGATAAGTCAGTAACTTGGTTGTGAAGGAAATCTGGCTTCTCCATGGACTCTTGCTTGTCAGAAGATCGCCAAAGGGGATCCCATGACCTGGGGACACAGCAACCGTCATAAATATGAACCAGTCACCAAGCGTTTGAATTTTGATCGCAGGATCGTAGGGAACGCTGCAAAGATTGTAACTCTGAAAAATGTGCATAAGTCACTTGTTTTAAAGTGCCGTTGTAACTTTGAACGTTCACTAAATGAAATTTCTTTGAACTATGGTGCTGGAGAAGACTCCTGCGAGTCCCTTGGACTGCAAGGCGTTCAAACCAGTCAGTCCTAGAAGAGATCAACCCCGACTGCTCTTTAGAAGGCCAGATCCTGAAGTTGAAACTCAAATACTTTGGCCACCTAATGAGAAGGAAGGACTCACTGGAGAAGGGCCTAATCCTGGGAAAAATGGAGGGCAGTAGAAGAAGTGGACGACAGAGAATGAGGGGGCTGGATGGAGTCACTGAAGCAGCAGGCGTGAGCTTAAATGGACTCCAGAAGATGGTAGAGGAAGGAAGGCCTGGAGGAACGTTGTCCATGGGGTCGCGATGGGTCAGACACGACTTCGCAATTAACAACAACAACAAAATGAAATTTTGTAAGTCAAGGACTACCTGTACATTCTAGATCAGGCATGTCGCAGCCAAAACTGCGCCCACCCCATTGCTGGCAATGGGGAAAAAGTCACAATACATTGCGTGACGTCGCGAGTTTGACATGCCTGTTCTAGATGAAAAGCCGGGGACAAATTGCCATGGTTCTAAAAAGAAGGGGAAAAACTAGACAACACATTCAAACATTTGCTGTATGTACTTAAGCATTCATATTCTACTTTCAGGGGAAAAAAAGAAGATAGGATCCCTTCACAGGGGATTCTCCTAGTTTCCTATGAAGCTAATAAACTTTGGTCCGAAGCTGTTTTCAGAGACTTTCCAATTTAACTGCAGTTGATAGGAAAAGAGGGGCAATAAACCTCCCCAAAAAAGTGCTTAATGCTATTTACTTGCCTTTTTTTTGTAACTCAGCAAAGGGAAGAAGGAAGCCATTGCTTTTTTTCCCCCTTGATCTTTTCACTGCTGAAAGACAACAGCTGAACAGGAGGCAATTTCAGAAATGTTTTCAGTAATCAGCTGGTGGCATGTCTCTTTTCTGAACTCTCAATGCCCAGCTATATCAATCCGCAAAAACCAAGAATAGCTTTAGACTTAACAGTATCTTATTCTCACCAAGGAACAGTTTGTAAGTGAGATCCATCTTCTTTATTTCATCCATTTATATAATGGGAGAATGCAAAGGGGGCGCGACGGCTCAGTGGTTAAAGACACTGAGCTTTGTCAACTGGAGAGCTGACAGCCCGGGTATGAGACCCGAGCTTTACATGCCGGGGGTGAGCTCCCGTTCCTTGCTCCAGCTTTTGGCCACCGAGCAGTTTGAAAGCATGCAAACGCGAGTAGATTAATAGGTACCACTTTGGTGGGAAGGCAACAGCATTCTGTGCGCCTTTGGCATATAATCCTGGCCACATGACCATAGAAACTCTTCGGACAACACTGGCTCTCTCAGTCAAAAAATAATAATACAGTTGGAAGGGACCTTGGAGGTCATCTAGTCCAACCCCTTGCTCAGGCAGGAAACCCTATACCATTTCAGACAAATGGCTGTCCAGTCTCTTCTTAAAAACTTCCAGTGTTGGAGCATTCACCGCTTCTGGAGGCAGGTTGTTCCATTGGTTAATTGTTCTAACTGTCAGGAAGTTTCTCCTTAGTTCCAGGCTGCTTCTCTCCTTGATTAGTTTCCAGTTTCCATCCGTTGCTTCTTGTCCTGCCTTCAGGCGCTTTGGAGAATAGTTTGACTCCCTCTTCTTAGATACTGGAACACTGCTATCATGCCACCCCTCATCCTTCTTTTTATTAAACTAGACATACCCAATTCCCGCAACCGTTCCTTATATATTTTAGCCTCCAGTCCCCTGATCATCTTTGTTGCTCTTCTTTGCACTCTTTCCTAGAGTCTCAGCATCTTTTTTACATCGTGGTGACCAAAACTGGATGCAGTATTCCAAGTGTGGCCTCACCAAGGCCTTGTAAAGTGAAATGGAGATGCGCATCGTGTCCGAGAGTGGGCATGACTGACAGGGAAACCTTTACCCTTTAGAAAGCAAAGGAGAGCCTTTTCCAGATTAATTAAAGGACAGCAGAGAAAATTAGAGGCAACAGAATGGGATTAACTGTATGCTTCATTTGTTACCCGCCTTAAGATTCTGATTCTATCTCTGCGTCCCCCCCCTCCTTCACCGTGAAAACTAGCACAAGCTAGCTTCTTGCCATACATTCACAAGGATTTCACTAAAATATTTCTTGTTTTCTCAAGTTTACATCTCCCAGCCTTTCACGGTTGCTATGAGGCAGTCTGCCCGAGAGATGAAAATAAATCTGTGTCATTTTTTATTTTTTCCCCCTTATGTGTGAAGTTCATTTCCGCTTATTTCTCCCACACATATACAGTTATGCTGGCTTTGTAAAATGCTTGCATTCTTCCTAATGCTCTTTCTGTGAACGGATACATATGCACGAAACTCTGTTCTGGAAAGACCATATGCTCAGGTCTGTCAGCTTAAAATACCCATGCCAAGTTGATGCTTTTATTCCAAGAAACTTCGCCTTTTGTCACCGTCTCTCTTTCAAGGTTAATTAATCGGCCTTAAAATATTTAAAGTGATAGGCAGGAGTGAGCTCTTCCAACTTGTCAAAGTTTCTGGCTCCTGAATGCTTTACTTTCCTTCCAAATGCAAGACAACAACACTACCCAATTTAACTTCTATTTTTCCTTATTGTGCGACAGGATTGAAAGTCAATTTTTAGCTGCGCTGGTATAAAAACTGGCAGGGTTCGGGGATGGTGGCAAATCATAATTCACCGCCGGAGAAGGGCATCTCC